AAAACCCTTCTTTTTACTTGTCAGCTGGACACAACTGTTTAGAAATTAATGAGAGACTATAAATATGGGAACAAACAATGAAATGTTCACAAAGCTACTTTTCACTGTATGGCAATGTAGCCAATTGCTTTCCATTACTTATTCTTCTGTTTCTTCATTCAGACTGATTTTAAAATAATAAACTTGATTGTGATATTTTTTCCCCACTTGACTTTAATTAGTTCGTAATTTTCTCTGGGTCATTGCCAAAGTCTATTTGAAGTAGGATTGGGCATAAAAATCATAGTCAAGTTTTTCTCTCTCATTTATTTTGTCACATACTTTAGCAGACCATTAGCTAGGATGTTCACCTGTGATATTTTCCTATAAACTCCTCATTGGCTGTATGATCCTCTTTGATATAAATTGAACTCAAAGGAAAATGCTTTTCTAGTACACTAAATGTTAGCACAACCTCAAATCAAAAATATTCCTCCTTAATTTGACTAGTATGCAGAAAAACTACAGTATATTGCTCCTATGATTATTTTCTGCATTTGAATTGCTTGGTGAAAATGTAGTACAATCACCTGTATATTGCTAATCAGAATATCTTTCTGTGATCAACCAGATGCTACAAAACTTGTTGTTACTCCTGATAACCCGCAAGTGTTGAAATCACATTCAGTTTTATTGAAATGTCAGTCTGAATATGACTCACACTTGAAGCAAAGTTTTAAATTATCCTGGAGGAAAGATGGAGATGAGTTGCAAATCAACAGCACAGAAGATGGCAGGTAATCTTGATAAAAAACCTCTCCTTGTTTTGACTCTGAAACAATACTGTATAGCATGGTTAATTTTGTTTCCTAGGGATAGGATATTTTTTATAACTTTAAGCCCAATCTGTGCATATCATAGCTGTGCATGCAGCACATATTTTTATGAATGCACCTGTGTTCTTTCAAATATTTTAAAGCTTTGATTTTTTCGAACCGAGCTACACAGGTAGGTTCATATGTACTTGCTATCCTGTGGTGCAGTATATCTCATTTGGCAGGTACACTGCACAATGAAGTACTAAACGTGGCAGCCTACACTTAATCCAAGTGTGAAATCCTAGCTCCACTGCAGCCACTGGGAGTTTTATCGTTGGCATCAGTGGAGCCAGCATTTCACCCCAGTTGTTCAACGCTTGGGTGCTAGATGCTTAGCCAGAGTTAGAAACATTAGTTTAAAGAGTATACCTTAAAAGCAGTGTGTTTCTGAATGGTTGTGTCCTAAGCATAGGAATGAAGGAAATCAGGGCTGAATTTTGCTCCCCGTATAGTTTTGCCATTGAATTTGATAGGATTAGGATTGGGCCTCTAATCCTATGAAGTGTCTGGAATGGACAATTCTGGAGGATTAAATTCCTTTATTTTTTAGTCATGGAAGAGATACAGCCCCCCACGCCGCACCATGTAATATGACTGAGCACATGCATAAAGAATGAGGGCCAGATCCTCATTGAGGGGTAAATCAGCATAGTTCCATTCAAGTCAATGAAGCCATGCCATTTACTCCAGCTGAGGATCTAATTCTGAGCTCTAAATTGCTACAAAAATAATATTCTAAAGTACAATGTATAATATATCTGCAGCTAAGGCACAATTTTAAATAACAGACATACGCCACCATTGTATTATTCCAAATGTGTCTGTTATCAAAGGCGTGCACGAACAGGCCTTCAGGAAAAACATGTCTATCAATAATATGCTTCTCTTCCAATTCTCTCTCTCATGCTTATGTAATTTCTTTTTTGTCCTGAAGGATAATTATTGAAATGGATACATTGTTCATATCAAGTGTGACATTCGAGGATCAAGGCGTTTACACCTGTGTGGCTAGTACATCCCTGGACAGTGTCACAGCTGAATCTCAATTAATTGTCCTTGGTAAGTAATTTTTTCCCCCTGGTTTGCAGACTACATCCAAAAAGTTAAACACTGTAGTGATTCAGACCAGTTTTTCTACAAACAATTTATAGAACATCAGTGGCCTGATTTTCAGAGATTCAGAGCACCTGCAGCATCTATTAATTTCGATTAGGACTATGCTTTCTCAACATCTGTGAAAACTGGGCCCCAGAGCACAATATTCTGATACAACAACACATATAATAATGTCCTTGTTGAGCGCCATTCATCATTTTCTCTTGTGCAAGAGGCAATCACACCAGCTGCAGGAGCTGTTGAAGGCTGGAAGCTCTAGTTGCATTGGTGGAAAAGTTATGCTGTCACTTTGCAACCCAGCGGGAGGATTCCTCCATCCCAGCTTCCACGGAGATCTCCGGCATGCAGCCTAGCCCCTTGGACTGTGCTGGTTCCAGAATATGATATTACAGGGGCCACCCATGAGAACTTATCCGTTTTGACTTAGATATATGCATAAGTCTACCTTGTTATTTGAATACACCCTATGCACCGCTTCAATTATGATTGGGAATACTTATTCTGCAAAAATAGTGAGGCAGCTTTATTTTGTTATCTAAAGTCCTGAACCTAAGGTACCTATATATCCCCCCCTACCATAGTATCTGAGTGCCTTACAATCTTTAATGTAGTTATCCTCACAAAATCCCCTGTGAGGTAGGGAAGTACTATTATCTATGTACTAGTCATTTACTAAGGGCTATTGTCTTATTTGCTCTGGCTAACAGAGTCTTTTAGTTCAAGCATTTGAGGCTTATGCTTTAAGATCCTGAGGTCCCAGGTTCAATCCTTGCCTCTGACGGCTGCAGGCTCATCAGTCTCTATTTGTGGCACAGCCATCACGGGAAGGGGACAGAGCACCACAAGAACGGGTGCAGTTACACCCCCATTTTACAGAAAGGGAACTAAGGGCTTGTCTACACTTGAAATGCTACAGCAGCACAACTTATGCCAATGGGAGAGGTTCTCCCACATCAGTGTAGGTAATCCACCTCCCTGAGAGGTGGTAGCTAGGCCGGTTATGTGAGTTTTTCACATCCCTGAGTGATATAGCTAGGTTGACCTAACATTTTAGTATAGACCAGGCCGAAGGCACAGGGAGACTAAGTGATTTACCTAACGTCACACGGGAAGCTAGTGGCAGAACTGAGACTTGAAACCCAGCTCTCCCAAGTCCCACGCTGGCACCATAATCACTGGACCATCCTCCTTTTCTCCTGACACTGGTATGGACTGCCAGCTGCTCTGCCCATATGAAGCCCTATTGAAGTCATGGGTGTGGTGACCTGGTGCACTGACATGCAATCCATTGCAGAATTGGAGCCTAAGTACCTATCTAAGGGAATGTTATTTTAAGGGCAAGCTTTTGTTTTTGTTTTAATTTAATTCATTAATTTTCTTGGCAGAGGCTGCAGCCGGACTTAAATCACTCACCTGCAGGGTTTTATACATACTTCATGCTTTAATGATAAATGCTGGTTTTCAATAAAAAGTAAATTAACAACATGACATGCCTTTTATTTACAGTACTGTATTTTTATACTACGTGTAATTCAACATGTTTGTTGACTATTTGTTATACTACTTATGAAAATTCCACAAAGGGCTATATTCCATTTTAAAAGTTGACCTGCTTGGGGGAAAAAATGGTCTTGATCCTTTTTTGTTTTTATTATGATGTATAAAAAATAGCCAGATGGGGGTTTAAAAAAAAATCTGTGTTTTTCAAACTAACAATTCAAGCTTTTTCTGTCCTTGAAAATTCAATGGTGACTAGAGAACTAACTTCACTAAAAACAAGACACCACAATTTGAACAGGAAGGAATTTTTAGTTGGACTGTTTAAAGCTGTTTGGTTTTGTTAACACCCATCAGTGACTAATGAACATATTGGAGAACATCTTTTTTAAAATAGAGGACCGTTGTCTCTCCAAATAAGATCTAAGAACTCACAACAGACATGCTCTGAGACCCCAAGAGGGCCACTAGCAAAACTTAGGGAGACCATACTGGGTATTTCTGATATTTCAAAGGTGTAATACAATTGGGGAGGAGAGAGGAGGTAGGGTGAGGGGAAGAATGTTTCTAGCATTCTTTAGACATCATATGCATGGTAAGAAGGCACAAGCTCACTTTTTTAAAAATCCTGTGCCTTCGCCTTTAATTTAGTTTACAAAAATGCAGTGTCAGTCCTAGTTTTAGCCAATTATAAAGGTGACTTGATTGAAGCAAAAGGAGGATGAAGACTTGCTCAAGGCCTCAAAGCCCAGCTCCTTAATCTGTTTAATTACTATGTCACACAGCCATAGATTAAAGTGATTCCAAGAGATGGAACCATTTCCACTTTGAGGTTTGAAGAACAGGTTCATAATGAACATAGTTTTATTTTTAACATGATTTTTTAAATTTCTTTCGTGGGTTTTCTTGTTTGTATTTAGATGTTATTTCAACAAACATACTACACCACAATACTATTGCTATGAGAATTTTTTTTCCTCAGACCATATACATTTCGTAAAACGGATGGTAAAATTGACAAAACAAGTCTCAATAACTGATGAAGATAAACATCTGTCAGTCTGAATGTGCCTGTATTAAAAGCATTAACTGTAGGATATGCATTTTCACAAACATATGTTATCCCAAACCATAGATCGTCTCTATTGCCTCTTATAAACTTGTTGAGAAACACAAGGTCATTCTGCAAAAATGTCTGTCCTCCCATGCTGTTTTCCTGCTCTCCTGCTGGTTAATCCATCTTTGTAGATGTTGTATTAAAGCTTTACAAGTCAGATTCTAAACTCCTATATAGACAGACCTTGATATGTAGCTCTGAAAATCAGCTCTGACACAGACAGTGCATATGATGAAGCAGTAGCTGGGGTTGGAATGACCCTGCTGAGGGATTAAGTCACTTTGTGGCATCTAGATGAGAGATCTAGCCAGGTTGTTATTTCATACTCACCATGATGGCATCTAAGCACACCGACTGGCTTTTGTCCTAGCTTCTAGACGGATCATGAACTGAGAAGGTGGGTGATGAACTTTCTTCTCCACTCACATAGCATAGGGATAAACTGGGAATCCATCAGGGATAATTAATTTTCTCCTCCCACTAACATTTAAGGGTGTAGGTTTAATATCTGGTGAAGTTCACTCTTCTTCCCCCATCATTGCGGTTTGGACCACAATAAATAAGTGAAGCAAATACAGCTTTCTGTTCAAAACAGCACTGAAATATATTCATTATTATATAGACTGTGTTGATTAAGAAAAAATAAATCTATTGCACTAGTTATTATAATAAGAGTACATGAGATTTCCCTGAAAATGAATATAGCAATTCATAAAATCAGAGGATCCACTTTGTGTTTATATAATAAGGGTGGGATTTTTAAAAGTGATTGTTGCTGGCCTAACCAAGTCGCCATTGAAGTCAATAGGAGTTTTACCAAAGCCTTCAGTTGAAGCAGTTAGGCCAATGCACAGCATGTTGAAATCTTACCCTAAATACATACAACTCACCTTCTTTCTATTTTCTCTTTATTTCTTAGATGTTCCTGACCCACCAGAAGAGCTACTTCTCTCAGAAAAACAGAACAGAAGTGTTAGATTATCCTGGAAAGCAGGAGGCAGTCACAACAGTCCCATTTATGGTATGAAGGATTCTAGTACCATAGTCTTGCAATTATTTTGTCATTTATTATGTCATTACCACTAGAATAAACATATAAGGTTCATATACATACTTAATTGTTTTTATTTTTGAAGCACCTTTGTTATAAATTTATTTTCTTTTGTGCTTGCCATTGAATTTATATGAGCTTTAATTCAGAGTTATGCTTTTGGTATTATCTCTCTCATTTTTATTTTTCCCATTCCAGAGTCCATTGTAGAATTTGAAGCGAATCGTTTGGAGCCTGGGAAGTGGCAGGAACTCATAAGAATCCCAGGGAACAACACAACCGTTGTTTTATCATTGGCTCCTTATATAAATTACCAGTTCCGTGTTCTATCCATTAATGGTGTTGGAAGAAGCAAGGCTAGCACATCATCAGCACGCTATGAAACACCTCCCACTGGTAAATACTGTCATCTCATTTCCTGGCTATATATTTTCTAGCATAATGGTCAATCCAATTTGTTCCATGAGGGTTTGAAATGAGACAGGGTTGCTTTCAGCCCAGTTTAAGTGATCTGGGACTTAGATTTTTATACTTTTGCAAACCTGAACACCTTATTCTGTGATTCGTCCCACTGAAGCCAAATGAGTCTCTATGAAGATGTAGTTATATTCAATAGTCTCTGAAAGAGAGAGGCCAGAGCTGTGACCCACACCAGCCAGAAGAGCTGGTACCCTGCGAAGGGGAGCATATGCCACACATTTGCCAAGGATGGCACAGCAGCAGTGATCTCCTGCACCCTCTGAAACTCTGAAGGACATCATACTAAGTTAGGCACGATGGTCCAGGGGCTCTGTTCCTTAAAGCTACAATATAGCCCTTTTATATGAAAACAGTTGCTAGATAGGATCTTTAGCAAGATTTATGGTGAGCCTCCCAGCAGCTCTGAACTTGTCACAAATCTCCATTCACTACACATTTCTCATTGTAACACAAAATGACTGGTTCCTGAAAGTACTTGCAGAGACCAGCTGTTCCGCATTGCATAGTAATTTGCATTGCCCCAGCTTTATTTTTGCTTTAGGTTTTGTTTTTGTTTTTTTTTACGTATATCGTCTCAGCTTCTTCCACAGCTTTTCAGCTCCGTGTCACACACTAATGATACACCTTCTTTTTTTCCATTCCCAACAGGGGGAATGTCTCTTCAGAATAATCCCCTTACATCTGGTACTCTGAAATCCAAAAAGTCAGTTTAGAGATATCGACTAAAACTAACCAAGAAGGCTGCTCAAGATCAAACCATATGAACTACATATTTGTTCACTAACCCTCTGTTGTGTCAAGTCATTATGTTTAATCGTGGGTTCTTTATTTACATGTTGGTTAGTTGCAACAAAGCCAAATCATTTCAAGGAAGGAAATTAGCCTGGCACTTTTCACATCTACCTGGTTGTTTTGTGAAGATGTAGGACATAGGGCGGGAGGGGGAAAAAGACAGGATTAATAAAGGACAGATGGTGTAAACTAATTTTATTCATTCTACTGTTATAGCTCCAGACAAGAACCCAGAAAACATCCGAGTCGAAGCTTCTGAACCAAATGAAATGGTTATGAAATGGGAGGTAATTTAAAAGTTCCTATCAGTGATATTCTATGTGAAATGATTTCTCCTTTCAAGCTGAAGATCTTGAAGCATTACTGAAGTTATCAGATCATGTTAAGAGAGTACCCACATTTTCAATATGGGTTTCATGGGTTTCTTCCTGCTACCTGTCTTCTAGTCGTCATTAGTAACTCCATGGATGAAATCCGAGGACCACTGAAGTCAAAGGCAAAGCTCCTATTCACTTCAATGGGTCAAGGATTTCTTTCCTTCCTCTACCGTTCAAAAATATATTTTTGACATCTATGTGACAAATGCTATGGAAAAATGTAAGAAGGCCTGTAATACACAAGTGTGTAGTGGGGAGAAGAAATCCCATATATAGCACATATAGCAAGAGCTGGAGAAGGTCATTAGTGCAAGTGTCAAAGGAATCTGTAGAAGTATTGAGGACAGAATTACAGCCGTCAGATTTCCAGACTGTTTGTCTGTAATTTATGTGCCATCTGTTCAGAGGGATATATTTTCTCTTTAATTCCAAAGAAGTTTTAATAATTGTAGAAGGAATGTATTTTGTGTAAGTGGAATAAAACACATTTTGCATTAGATTTGTAAAGATTATTTTCCACCCTGGTTCTAGCAGAAATGAACCATACAAATTTCCACAACCTGAATTTTCATTTTAGGTTGGGTGTCGAGTGACCAGACCTCTCAATTTTTATAGGGACAGTCCCGATTTGTGGGTCTTTTTCTTATATAGGCTCCTATTACCCCTCACCCCTGTCCTGCTTTTTCACATTTGCTGTCTGGTCAGCCTAGTTGGGTGTAGCCCAGAAGTGAATGTGACCCTCTAAGTCTATTGACTATTACTTTATTGTGAAACTTCATTCTACAAAATATTCCATAGTCAGTGAGAACAATTCTGTGTTTATAAGCAGTTGCATAGAGGCACAGACAGCATATGCTGTTGTTAATTATTTGTACTGCTAGCTAGACATAATCTCTGCCCAAAAATCTTACAATCTACAATTCAGTTGTAGCACTACAATTAAAGGTGAGAATGGAGTGGGATTGGATAGGTTTAGATAAATAAGAACAGACAGGGATTCTGGGTTCATTTAGACTATTTTTGGATACAAATATTTTTATTTAGTGTGCTTCTTGTAGGCTTTGCAGCAGATCTTCTATGCCTGATACATAATGAATGCTTTATTTCCAGCAGACAAGGACTGGATGTATGCACACAATGATTCTGCAAAATGATGTTAATCTGCCTAGTTTGGATTAACAGATCAGATGAGCATTAGCAATAGGATTTTCAGCCAAGGCTTTACAGGATTAAAGCAAGATCAAAATAATAGTCGAGTGGGGCTGAAATTTAACCCTAAACTGGAATTTATTTTCTAGCAGTAAATTTTATTTTCTTATTTTCTTTTTCGTGCGTTAGTAAATGATCAATTTTCAAAGTACCGTTCAGGTTTCAGTCAAGGGGATTTACAAAATTAAATTCCTGTGTACTGCTTTGGCAATGCAATGAAGAAGTCAAAATGTAAATAATGATGATCATTTTAAACAGTCATGTGCTCCTAAATATTATGCAAAATTGTTAATAAATGACAATTCAATTAATTATATTATTAATGCAGTTAAATATTAATTCAAATTAAGTCAATTTAAAATGTGATCCAGCAAATACTTTAAATATAGAGTTCATGTGGTTTGTTGGGTTGGAGCTATCGTATTTATTTTAATGCGTCTTGTATATGGAATAAAATTGACTGAATTATTAACATTTTTGTGGCTTATACACATTACAATTAAATTCTAAAAGTAGTTTGACTTATAAAAACACATTGTTCAAGTCTAGATCTGAGCAAAATTTTTTGCATAAAACTTTGTGTCAAAAAATACAAATTTGGCGACACTGAAACATTTAATGAATTTCTGTTAATTTTGCCAAATTGTTTTGGTCGTAAAGATAACCTACACAATTCTGAAAAAAATGTAAATGTTTTGATTGAGTTTTTCTAAAGGAAACATTTCGATTTTTTAGGTAAAAATGAATGTTCCTTTCAAAAACATTTTAAAATGGTCAAAACTGAAATATTTGAATTTAATGAAATATTTTTTGTTCAGCCTGTTTTGTTCAATCTGTGGTTCCACCACAAACATTGTTTTTAAAAGTTTTTTTGGAAATGCCAGTGAACCTACACTCCCCCACAACAACTGAAGTAAATGGCAGACTTTCCATTGACTTCAAAGGCTGCTAGATTAGACCGTATAAGGCCTGGCGACTGAACTAGCCTATCAATAAGGGCGAACACCTCAGCTTTTTGATGAAAAATGGCTTGTTTTTTGTAAATGAAAATGTTCTGTGAAACTTTTCATCTCTTCCTAAATTTTCTGATTTCTAAAATAAAAAAAATCAACAACTGAAAAAAATGCTTTAAAAATTGAAAAGTTTTTATGCAAAACCAACCATTTCTTTCTAAAATGTCTACAGAAAAGCCATACCATTTTCCAACCAGCCCCAGCTGACATCATTTTATGGATTCATTCTTTCCTTATATCACAAAGAGGTTCCTCAACAAAGCAGTAAAAAAAAATAAAAAATTGAAGCACAGCTAGTACCCATTAAGTGTCCAGATCTAGTTGAGTGGAGAGTGTGTGTGTGGGGGGGAGACGGGGAGGAGTGGTTAGTGCATATTTAAAATCTTATAGGATAATCTCAACTTATTCATAAATGATCTGGAGAAGGGGGTAAAAAGTGAGGTGGCAAAGATTGCAGAGGATACTAAACTGCTCAAGATAGTTAAGACCAAAGCAGACTGTGAAGAACTTCAAAAAGATCTCACAAAACTAAGTGATTGGGCAACAAAATGGCAAATGAAATTTAATGTGGATAAATGTAAAGTAATGCACATTGGGAAAAATAACCCCAACTATACATACAATACGATGGGGGCTAATTTTGCTACAACTAATCAGGAAAAAGATTTTGGAGTCATCGTGGATAGGTCTCTGAAAACGTCCATGCAGTGTGCAGTGGCAGTCAAAAAAGCAAACTGGATGTTAGGAATCATTAAAAAGGGGATAGAGAATAAGATGGAGAATAACTTATTGCCCTTATATAAATCCATGGTATGCTCACATCTTGAATAGTGCGTACAGATGTGGTCTCCTCATCTCAAAAAAGATATCCTGGCATTAGAAAAGGTTCAGAGGCTAGGACTTAAAGAGGCTAGGACTTTTCAACTTGGAAAAGAGGAGACTAAGGGGGGATATGATAGAGGTATATAAAATCAGGAGTGGTGTGGAGAAAGCGAATAAGGAAAAGTTAGGTATCAGAGGGGTAGCCATGTTAGTCTGGATCTGTAAAAAGCAACAGAGAGTCCTGTGGCACCTTTAAGACTAACAGATGTATTGGAGCATAAGCTTTCATGGGTGAATACCCACTTGTGTCTGACGAAGTGGGTATTCACCCACAAAGGAAAAGTTATTTACTTGTTCCCATAATATAAGAACTAGGGGCCACCAAATGAAATTAATGGGCAGCAGGTTTAAAACAAATAAAAGGAAGTTCTTCACACAGCGCACAGTCAACTTGTGGAACTCCTTGCCTTGCCCTGAGAAGCTTGTGAAGGCTAGGACTAAATCTCCATGGATTTATCCAGTTCTCGAAGTCCATTAATGGCTATTAGCCAGGATGGGTAAGGAGTGGTGTCCCTAGCCTCTGTTTGTCAGAGGGTGGTGATGGACGGCAGGAGAGAGATCACTTGATCATTACCTGTTAGGTTCACTCCCTCTGGAGCACCTGGCATTGGCCACTGTTGGTAGACAGGATACTGGGCTGGATGGACCTTTGGTCTGAATCTGTACGGACGTTCTTATGTTCTAATCTAAATTTTAATGACCCTACTTGCTGTGCCGCACAAAAATTTGAGTTAAGTTGTATTTTACTTGTAATGAAGATTACATATATTTATATTAGCATAAAACTAAGAAAACTTGCAGCAAAACCTGTTAGTGCATTCTATAAGTAGAAAGATATACTTTAGTAATTAACCTGTTTTAAATCCAGCTGTTATTCCCCCATGCTGTTCTAAAAATTATAACACTTTTCCTACAGCCATCTTACAAATAACATGATGGAGAAGATTATTTTTTCTCGCAAAATATTGTTGTGTATGGCTTCAAAATTATTCTCCATTTAATCTGCCATTTTATGATTATAGCAACAAAGGCAGATTAGTATCCCTTTAACTTCTTTTGTAGCCATTGAAACCCATGGAGCAAAATGGACCAGGACTGGAGTACAAAGTCAGCTGGCGACAGCAGGGAGTAGAGACAGACTGGAACGAGGAAACTGTGAAAAAACATTCCTTGACATTGAGGAATACTCCTACCTTTGTGCCTTATGATATCAAAGTCCAAGCTGTAAACAATTTTGGATCTGGTCCTGAACCAAATGTTACCACTGGATATTCAGGAGAGGACAGTAAGTAACTGAAACATTTTTGTAAAAATATATGGTGTAGATGATCCTTACATTGCAATATAAATGGATAACAGGTATTATTAGACCTGCTCACAATTAAAAATGCTTAAATTTTACTCACTAGTGATCAGCATGTTGGAATACTAAAAGAAACAGAAGTATTATGTACCAGTTTCCTTACTATGAATTTTAGCTATCAAGGGCTTCATTTTCAAAAAGGTCAGTTATGCTTGCATATACAAAAATGAGTGTACAATTGCTTGCCTAAATTGGCACCTAGTCATGGCTCCAATCCAACAAAACATGTTTAATGTTAAGCACTTTAACCCATTCACCTCAAACTACAGGGAGTAAAATACTCTACAGGTAGATGCACATATTCAGTTTGTGGGCATTTTAGAATTAAAATAGACCATTCAGCTTTTGCATGCCAAAAAGAATGCGGGAAATTGCAAAAAGTAGTGACGTATGCCCCTTCAGTGCACTCCTGAGGTGTAGGGTATCCAAAGGCGGCAAGAAAGAGGATGACTATGGCTCCTTGACACAGTTTACAGAATGGGCCAGCCACACTGAGGAAAGCAGGTGGCACTATCTTTAAGGATCCCCCCCCTCAAACATTGAGGAATGTGTCAACACTAGAGTTGCAGAGTTTCCAAGTAGTATCACAGCTCTGCATGTGCAGTCGACACCTCAGTATATTTTACATTCCATATTTTGAGTACATTTTTGTCCATGACACCAACACACCTATCCTTTCTGCATCCTCCAAGAAACAGAGTACTTTCTCTTGAAATGACCTTCACAATCATCCCTTTTAAACTGGATCTATTTGTCCTGCTCCTAATATGTACAGTTTGCAGCCACACCAATATTCTACTCAGTATTATTGCTTTTTATAGAAACTACTTTTACAATTCCGAGACACAGAGTCCCTGATTTTTGAAAAGGGTCCCAAACCGGTCTTTAATTTTGCAAGTGCAACTTTGATCTTTCAAATAACTGAGGATCCGGTTTTGTTCCTGTCATAATTGGAGGCCAGCTCTCAAAGTGAGGGCCATCATTGACAGCAAGGTTCTTTCCAATGTCTGTACTGTGTCTTTCTTCTTAAATGACTGCCTTGATACAAGCAATCAGCATTTGTGCCACAAACATCTGTTCATAGATTTGAAGCCCCTAAGGGACTGTTATGATGTTTGCCCCAGTTTCCCAGATAAGCATATTTGATACTTTTTTTGTAATATCAGCATCAGCCTGTGATACCAACAATCTACCTGTACCTGCCAATCCCTCACACCACAGTGCTCTTTAGTAATCATGTTCCTCCAGTGATCACTAATGCAAAAATGACAGCACTAGTGCTGGGTC